TGACGGTCCCAGTGACCGCTTTGGCAGAGGCTGACTTCCAAGTCAACCGCCGCCATTAATGAGATTGCGTGTCGCAATCCAAGACACACGGCGGGTGCTCCAAAAAACCCGAAAATCTCCTTCTAACCGCTGTGTCAAACACTGCTCGCGGAACTCAATGGCCTAGTGATCATGGCGATAGCTGCCAAGCACTATGCCTCGGGTTCCACTCCTAGCTCAGCTGTCTCTACCTGATGAGTCTAAACCAAGACGAAACCGTCGGTCGTGGAGTGCAGGGATAGGAGAGAGCCACACCGAAACCCTCCACTTCGGTGACGGTCCCAGTGACCGCTTTGGCAGAGGCTGACTTCCAAGTCAACCGCCGCCATTAATGAGATTGCGTGTCGCAATCCAAGACACACGGCGGGTACTCCAAAAAACCCGAAAATCTCCTTCTAACCGCTGTGTCAAACACTGCTCGCGGAACTCAATGGCCTAGTGATCATGGCGATAGCTGCCAAGCACTATGCCTCGGGTTCCACTCCTAGCTCAGCTGTCTCTACCTGATGAGTCTAAACCAAGACGAAACCGTCGGTCGTGGAGTGCAGGGATAGGAGAGAGCCACACCGAAACCCTCCACTTCGGTGACGGTCCCAGTGACCGCTTTGGCAGAGGCTGACTTCCAAGTCAACCGCCGCCATTAATGAGATTGCGTGTCGCAATCCAAGACACACGGCGGGTACTCCAAAAAACCCGAAAATCTCCTTCTAACCGCTGTGTCAAACACTGCTCGCGGAACTCAATGGCCTAGTGATCATGGCGATAGCTGCCAAGCACTATGCCTCGGGTTCCACTCCTAGCTCAGCTGTCTCTACCTGATGAGTCTAAACCAAGACGAAACCGTCGGTCGTGGAGTGCAGGGATAGGAGAGAGCCACACCGAAACCCTCCACTTCGGTGACGGTCCCAGTGACCGCTTTGGCAGAGGCTGACTTCCAAGTCAACCGCCGCCATTAATGAGATTGCGTGTCGCAATCCAAGACACACGGCGGGTACTCCAAAAAACCCGAAAATCTCCTTCTAACCGCTGTGTCAAACACTGCTCGCGGAACTCAATGGCCTAGTGATCATGGCGATAGCTGCCAAGCACTATGCCTCGGGTTCCACTCCTAGCTCAGCTGTCTCTACCTGATGAGTCTAAACCAAGACGAAACCGTCGGTCGTGGAGTGCAGGGATAGGAGAGAGCCACACCGAAACCCTCCACTTCGGTGACGGTCCCAGTGACCGCTTTGGCAGAGGCTGACTTCCAAGTCAACCGCCGCCATTAATGAGATTGCGTGTCGCAATCCAAGACACACGGCGGGTACTCCAAAAAACCCGAAAATCTCCTTCTAACCGCTGTGTCAAACACTGCTCGCGGAACTCAATGGCCTAGTGATCATGGCGATAGCTGCCAAGCACTATGCCTCGGGTTCCACTCCTAGCTCAGCTGTCTCTACCTGATGAGTCTAAACCAAGACGAAACCGTCGGTCGTGGAGTGCAGGGATAGGAGAGAGCCACACCGAAACCCTCCACTTCGGTGACGGTCCCAGTGACCGCTTTGGCAGAGGCTGACTTCCAAGTCAACCGCCGCCATTAATGAGATTGCGTGTCGCAATCCAAGACACACGGCGGGTGCTCCAAAAAACCCGAAAATCTCCTTCTAACCGCTGTGTCAAACACTGCTCGCGGAACTCAATGGCCTAGTGATCATGGCGATAGCTGCCAAGCACTATGCCTCGGGTTCCACTCCTAGCTCAGCTGTCTCTACCTGATGAGTCTAAACCAAGACGAAACCGTCGGTCGTGGAGTGCAGGGATAGGAGAGAGCCACACCGAAACCCTCCACTTCCAGATTTATCTTCTCCTCTGAGTTTATTGTTTGCTCTTCCTTACTTCACTTAACCGGTCCAGCGGAGACTGCTAGGAAAGCATACGTGGGCAGGTTGACAGGTGGCCGTTCTTTGAAGAGTGGAACGTCTTGAGCCCCACTCTAGTGAGATGGCTAATGCCAAAATAGCACTTCGGTTACCAAATGGCACAAAAAGTCACACGTATACGCCACTCCGCGGAGTTCAAGATCAAAATACTGAAAACTTATCGGGAGGGAGATAAATGGGCGCAACTTGCATGTTTACGAAATGTTAACTTGTAAACCTGCTACAGTTAGTTACGAAGACTTGAATCAACTGAACAAAGTGGAAAGTCTGCTTGCGAGGCGACTTAGGACTATGACAGAAAGTACCATTGATTGCCTGGTAGAACGAGTATCGTCAGAACCCACGGTCAATCTCCAAACACTTCACTGGAGTTTGAAACCTGAGTTCATGCTTGAGGTATATTAATTCAAAGGCGCGACACTTGGACAGGAGGCTCATAACAATGAAGAAATTACACGCAGTTTCGGAAATCACAAATACGCAAGAGAACAAAAGGAGGAAGACTAGCGTTGTGGGTTGTTGCACCAGATTTCAATCTCATTTGTGTTTGCACCAGAGGCCATCCACCGCTTGGATTCCGTGCGCAGTGTCAAGTGCCCAACACTCGAGGACAGAAACTTAATTTATTGAAGCCGTGACGACCGATGGCTTGATGAAGTATACCATCGTGAGAGAACTTTCAACAAGGAAAGGTGCGCGCAGTGGTGGCGTGGACGGCAGGATGCCAAGGGTACGAATTTGTCGTAAGCTCTATCCTGAGCTACGATAACGCGCCATGCCACACGAATCTGGAATGCGAATTTCAAAAGGAGTCGTACTGTGCGGACAGGTTCTTGCGCCATGTTCCATATTCTCTAACACTGAACCAAACTGAGGGCATTTGGAGCACCATAAAAGCATATGTGAAGCAAGCTGTGAGGCAGAGAAATTCCGAGATGCTTCAAGGAGATCCTGTGGGTTTACTCTGCAAGACTGAGTGGCGACTGTTTCCTGGAGCGATTTGTGTCACAGGCACGAGCTTGTGCAACGTCTCAGTTCTACCAAGACATGACAGATCATGTGACGAGGAGTTACGCTCGTGCAATGCATTGTATTGAGCTGTAAATTCCTCTTATTTTGTCGATTTAAATCTTGAAAATATGAACTGATGTTGTCGCTGCTATGCATCGCAGAGCTATTGTTCCGAGATTCATATATAACGATAGTGTTCAGGCTAACTGCTGTCGCCGAGAATTCTCACATACAATCGCGCTAGGTATTGCGAGACAACCAGAGGGTATCCGGACACCACCTACCAATCAGAACTACAATGCTGCAAATGGTGTGAGGTCACGTGCTGTTAAATATGCGGTTAGTTACTAGAGCGGGAATGGGACGTCATTGGTATTTTGAAGAGGACTACCATACGCAAAAATGGAGAAGTCATTCTGTTGATCGTTAGGTTAAACACTAATGCGGATAGCTCGAAATTGGATACTGCCGTAGGTTACCTATCGCTGCGTGAGGAGAGGTATTGTGAAATCCTATGAGACAACGCCTCGGATGTAAAGCACTGATCCATTTCAGGATGCAAAATAACTGCTTGTAGCTAATCGTCAAACCTTTCAGATGGTTATGCCGTCGACTGCGTTCACTTCAGCGCCTATGTTGTGCCTGCGTAGGCGGTGCATCATCAGTCGTTCGCCAATTGCTAGTAGTGCAACACTCGAGAGAACACGAACCACATAAGCAACAAAGTAGACATGACGATCACCTACACATTAATCATTTTAAGATACCACTTATTTCTCCAATTCCTCATATTTAGTTTGGGCTTTATGGTAAGGCTACTGCTTTCGGGTGAGGGTGCACAAGTCTTCCACTGCAAATACAGCTCGTAATATGAATGCCGCAGTTGTATTTCGGCATTAGGCTTCTCAGCACAGTGCCGCCCAAGATGTTCCTCTCCTAACAAAACGGTCACCCGTCAACCCGTATTTCAGTGGTAAGCTACCCAGGTCACTTTTGTCACTTTATTCGTAAGCCCGTCATAAAATTACGGTGCCGCAGGCCCCGATCAGTCGCAGTCATGTAGCTATGACTGTCTTGCTACGCGGTTACAGTGCAGTCCTAGACCCGAGCTTGGTAGCTCGCCCTAACCATAGTAGGCCAAACTATCATATAATCCCTAATGGGGGTGCCGCATTGTTCCGGAGCTCACTGAGTGCGTGGTGCGTCGGAAAGATACTGGAGGCAATTCTAATGCGTTAAGGACTTTGTTCAATCGGCTTACGGATGCAAACCAGATCGTTAGGGAGCAATTCAATTATACTATGGATGTAATCAATCGGAGGAAATTGTAGTAGTTTGTTGAGCCTAAGCGTTCTTTAGTACTGTGCGTCCCAACATGGTGCAGCATGATAGTAACTCACCACAAAGCAAATACGTTGTCAGCGTGCGTGAGGCAGTTTTTCAAATGAATTCAATTCCAAGGAAAGAGACTCCAAACGCGGCGATAAGGGTTCTACTACTCGGATTAATGTGAATCACTGTGTCCTTTAACAATTATACGATGTGATCCGACTGATAACCCATGCTTTCCTAATTTCGGAAGAGAACGCTGCTCAGGCTACGGTTAGGTAAAATGACTGTCGCCATGCCTATCTCTCCACGTCTTCAGGTTGTCATATCCCGGGCCTACAGTCCCTTCTGTGCAACCGAAAAAGATACTTGGAAATCGTTTTCAGTGTAGGCTTGAGCTTCAGTGCTATTCGCCCATTTCTGTCAGTAGCCACAGAAGGATGGATATCGTGGCGGCTTGCGCATTCTAGATGGATGCGCGCAGCAACGCAACGGTCGTTATTAAGACCAAACATGGCTTCATCGTTGGTTGTTTGGATAAGGCCAAGGGTACAAAGGCATGATGAACCAGTACCGTTTGTCTTGAGCCCACAGGTTTTTCAGAACGCGGATAGCTAGGATCTAAAGAACTTCAGAAAAATATGTTGCATGCGATTGATCAGCTTGTGCGTGGGGATATTAAAGGCTAGCCTACCTGGTTTACTACGTTAGATCATCACCAGCAGGTTGTTCTATAAGATGCCAAGAATAGATAACAACATACCGAAAACCGAAGTTTACTTCATCCGTTGTCAACCGACTGTCATCATCCAGAGATAACACCGCGTCCGTTTGAATGAGATCCAGTGGAAGAAAGCGATTGTTCAAACTGTTTTTTAGACCATATAGTACCTTAAACAAAGTAATTAAGTGGAAATATTTGAGGAAGCGTGTATGTGGAAACGTGAGAATTTGGCTTGTAGAAATTATTCTACATGCATTTGCGATATGATTAACTTGATAAACAGACCTGTAAATTTAGTCCAAGCGAATGGGATACTGCATTCTGTTCACCTTGCCAAAGTAAGAAGACGACACATATGACACAAACTAGTTTGGTTTCACGCTGCCTTTGCATTTGGCACTTCTGTTCGGTACACTAACATTCCATTATATGATTATCACAATATTCGATGGAAAACCTACGGTGTCTTCCTGTCATCATTATCTTCATTAGCATCATTAAAATTACACCTGAGCTAAATGTGAGAAACACACTTCAGCCAATATACCGTGGTACAAAAGGCTAGGGTGTGCGAAAAAAGTGAGATACAAAACATTGCAGAATGCGATCAAAGACTAACGCGCATCTGTGGAATTACCATATTATCAAGGTCAACATACATATATGTCCGTTTACCCCGATTTCGTGGGGGTTTCTGAGCATAATATTTGTTTGTGGCTTATCTTCACAGTGAACAGTAAAGAAATCAATTAATGCAGGTGGTTTAATGCATCATCGAGTCATTTATCACAACAGGAAGGGTGGGCACAGAAACGATTAAACACAAAAGGCCTTCCACGGATGACAAATCAGAAGCGAAAAATACTTCCGGCGGCACTCAAATGGACTGTATTGGGTGACCAGTTTTAGCTGGCTACAACTAAAGTTCATGGTGCGGCTGAGTATCAATAAGTGGCGACAAGCCTGACCGGGGTTTCTCATGACCTGAAACGCCAAAATGAAGTGGCTCCATAGATGGCAATAACTTCCCCCGTCCATTCCTAGGACTCTCAGGCGCAGTTGGGATGGTAAGTGGAACAATCCCTTCACATGTTTGGCTACTCTTGATTGTGCGGTCTACAGTGCAATCAGTTCGCGTTTTAGCCAAGGTTGCGGGCCTGTATCTCGTACTCTACATGAGGCCTCACATACATAATGCATATTTTCGGAAAGATAAAAGAATCGAACTACCCGAATTCCTTTGGCAATAGAACTGCCTAGTTTACGGTTTTGGACGCGTTCAAGGACTGCACCGAACATCCGCGGTCATATTGCACCACCATCTGTAGGTTGCGCTCCTATGAAGCGGATTTTAACACATGGGCACCAAGGCCATACGAGTAAACGGGCTTGTAGCGAACATATACAGTTTTGCATACGTCCGCGTTAAACGGGAGCATATTTTCCTTTGCCAAATCAAAAACGCTAAGTCTTGTTGTATCATGTCGTTGTCATCCTAACGACCGATTGGTAGTACATGCCCGATTCTGACGGAATCCGTAATGCTCCGGCGATATGATGTTAGATTATTCAAGGTAGCCCAATAGTGCCGCAGCTATAATGGACTCCATCAATTTTGAGAGCACCGGGAGGAGAATCACTGGGCTCTATTCGACAGGCACCTAACGGCCATCGCTCTTTGAAACCAGGGTAATGATACCATGGATACATAGTTTGTGGAACTGCTGTTTATCCAAGCATCTTTGGAAAATTTGGATAAACGTATCAACTATCCTCGTGACTGTCATGTGCAATGCTCTCGGAGACGTTTGTTTACACCGGGGAAACTATGGGTGGGCAACGACAGCAGCTTCCTCAAAACTGTCGCTGAACGGTGAGTGAGGTGGTTAAATACTGGCGTCTAGCGGAATGGGACAGGTTGGTGACACGTGTTGATGGCGCATTGGAATGGGGAAGCATGTCGGTGCCATAGAACGTTGGCTGCATCTTCGGAGATTTGATCACGTCCATTTGCTGATATTAGTGGGGGAACATCATGCTTCACATTCCGGAGGCTGTTCACATGTTTGTACAGAAGCTTGCTGTTATCACACAATCTTTCCGCTTGACTCTACTAGCTTACTTAAATGTCCTTAAGGACAAGTGTAGCACGTGGATTACCTTGTACTAAACAGTTGCTCAAGAAGTCAGAGCCAGGGTCCCCTCTCCACACACGCCATGCTGCGTCTCTTATTGCCATTCGTTTTGGGGATCCGCTCCGAATGAAGGGTGGCGCGTTTGCATAATGAAGGGGCCTGCTTACCGATGCGGATTTAATCTGATAAGCTGAACTTGCCAACAACCTCCATCCAGCTAGTATCAATGGAAATCATCCAGAAACTCTCAGATTGTGCCTCCAGCAGGTTTTGTTATCATCTTGTAGGGTGTGATATTTCGAAATAAGTCAACATATTCTTGTGGGTGTTCCGCATAACACATGTAGTCATAAAGTATTATTACGTGGTCCCTCCATCCCAGAGGGCTCTCCATCTTTGGTTTCGCTATCATGAACTAATCGTTAGTGAGCACTAATTAAAAAACAGGCGACTACTTACCCACTCTGAAGCGCGTGAGGGACCCGACATGGCTGAAGAGAGGAATACTTGCAATAAGCTCATGAAGGTCCGACTTTAATTGTTCGTTGGGTATGCTGTAATTCCCAGACCGTAACTCTGAAGTCGCCTGATACGGGAATATGGCTGAATCGTTGTAGAAGAACTCACCCCAGCACTAATGTCAGGCAGTAGTGCATCTCCCGAGTGGACGATGAGGAATGATAAACAACTGTCACAAGGCACGTGTCGTTGCTTCTTAGTCGCACACTGCATCAGACTGTGTCTATGGTCAAGTTTTATGTATAGGTTCGCATTGCTGGTCGCTGCGGCAATGTCAAATTATCCTACCGCCCTTGATGGGGTGATCGTGTCAAAATGGAACAAACACGCTTCGCGACTTTGGCGCTGGTTATTGTTGAGTGCTATCAAGTTTCAGTTACGAATATGAGGTCCAAAGTATATGATGTTTGACGGGGCCGCAGTTCCGCAAGCTTATCCAGGCCACCTTGGGCGTTGGGGTAGATTCAGTAAAGTTTCTCTGTTCTCGGCAGTGGCCGAGGGAGATGTGTTTTGGATGTAGTATGGTGTCGACCAGTGTAAGATCGGCCACTAATTATTTTTTGGGTGGGGCGATAGCGAACTCATCTGTACCACACCCACTGATACCGCCATTTCCCACCTGCTCCTCTCTCTGTATGCAATGTGGTGTGTGGGCCTCCACTTTTCGTCCACCTGCTGAGTGACGCTATCCGAACTGTTGCCGGGAAGTTGCCCATCTAAAAGATCGCGCTTGTGCTTTTGCTTAGGAAGCTGCTTTAGCCCGGAGGTCGGGAGGATGGCTGCTGTGGCCCACATGTCTGCCCTGCAACACAATTGTTTATACTTGTCTGCATTATGACTTCGTCTTCACAATCCTTGGGTCACATTATTTGTAATTTGATGATCTACACAGTCTCGAGATCGATTGCTGCAAAACGCTTTTCAGGGAGAGGGGCTGTCGTATGTCTCGCCAATGTTCCTGCACTTGAGTTGCCGCTTCGATCACATCATAACCTCTAGTCTCGGGAAAACTGTGTACGAGGATAGTCTTGGTTATGGATTGCTTCCAGTATTTTTTCAAATCGTGATTTACCTATTTACACTCGCTCCATGGAATATCTGCGAAGATGCGAATGGAACACTACCCATTTCGGCGGCGAGATGTCGATAACAGGATAGCTGCTTCCTATGCGGAAGTCAATACAAATCGGAGAAGTCTCGATTCACTGGAGTGCTCTGATTTTTAGTGACGGGTGAGGCGCATAAATCTGACGGGCTTAACCACCACGCCTATGTTGTCACATATGAAATTCCACTGATACGCATCATCTAGTTGTTTTCGTTTTGAGCAACTTGACGTCGATTCTGGAAAGTTGGTATAAATTACCTATGTTGCACTCTGGGCATCCCGGATTAATGTCAACCTCCCAACTTGTCTGCATACAAACTGTCGAGGCTGTGCAAGTAAAGCTTTGCCTTATTCAATTAATTTGGACCAAGTGGGAATAGTTTAAGGCCAGAGCTTTCTATTGACTTTGACAGCAACCATTGTTCAACCATCACGAGGATTTACATCCTTCGGAAATATTGAAAGAGTATGAAGAGCGAAGGAGGCCCCCGCTATAATTATTCCAATCGGACTGGCGGTGGTTGGCTCACGCGCATTTGAGCAACCGGTGAGATTGACGTCTCAAATTAGATAACGCTATTTAATACTCTGCTTAGCATTCCTCCTCTGTTTTGTAACGCAGCCTACTGGAAAAGACTGGAGTTTGTTCTCTGTCGCTTATTCCTCAATTTAACCCTTTTCTTATTCCTCATTTGTTCCATCAATGCCGCTAATTTTTTGGGTTTCTACGATTGTTCACGTGCAATCTTTGCCATTGGCACAACATTCATACTGCGCAAAACCATAGAGAATCTGGTCTACCAATGCGCATCTTCAATTTGTTTAGTAGGGACTTAGAACACTTTAAATGATACTTGCCGAAACGATTAGAAATATGGATTCCCTCTCGTACATTTCTATGGCATGACAGAAAGCCACATACTACTCGCAATCTGTGCGCAGTAAAATGGGTATCTTTTGATTGGTCGTTACAAACCAGTGCGTGTAACGATGCCTTTCCTGTTCAATGCCGAGCACATATGGTTAGCACTTTGTCGCCTGCTCGCTGACTTGGCTGTATTGTCAACTTCGACAAATTCGGTACATCCAGAGGTGCAGGGCAGGTTTAAGCGACTAGATTACTCGCTAGGTACAAAAGCGACTGTGCGGATGGACACAACTTGTCCAGGTATTACTCCGCCTAGGGATTGTGAGATGTGCTTGTTGGCACGTCGTATAGAGCTAGGGACCACGCATGTCGCTGGATGGTTCGTAAATCGGAAAATGCCACATTTATATTCTCGCTGGAACAGTGTGGAAGCTGCGATAAAGAGATGCAAAGTGATTCACACAAGCTAGTTCCGAAAGATGGAATGCACTAAATTACGCCGGTGAAACTGTATTGAATAAACGTAAGTATACGTGAGTGTGATGCGAAGTGTGAAACTAGGTCCGATTTTAGTACCACGGCGGATATTTCACCTCCATACGGGGTTACACACGGAGAAGATCTTGTGGATCGTGCCCAGTGAACACAATTTCCATTACTCCAGTAATGGTGAAGTCAAGAAGAGGGGTACACTCGGCGACCTTCTCTCACACTGCTGGAGGTATGAAAGAGCGTTGACAGTTTGCCTGGGTGGCTTACAAACTAGTTACAAATTGTTATCATAAGTTAACGGTTGGAAGGGAATCCAGCCATGACTCTAACAAGGAGAAGTGCTGCGATAAGCACTTCTCTAATTAAGTACCCAAAGGAAATCAGCTCTGCATTTGTGGAACAATCTCCTTATTCGGTAATACGAACAGAGCTGTCAATGCTCAATGTCTGGATAAGAATATTGCGTGATAGGTGCCAAGCAAAGTTGGAGGAAATTGTACTTTCAATGTCTAAACTGTGCCATTGTTTTCCAGAAGATTTAAGACGCCTCTTCCCTCTTGTTTACTTCGCGATTTATATGATTCTCTTTCACTTGAGCACTTGTTTGGAAACACTTGTTTGGAAACCATCTTCATTCCATTGGAAGGGGCAGCGGTATCTTATAAAATGGCCGCAGAAGGACCTTAATGACCAGCGCAAAAACCACCGCTGGATTTTGTCATCATTAAAAAAACTTGGAACATGAAGCATCGACAGATCTTGTTAGTGGCCAGTTAGGAGTTTCGAAGTATTTTAGTCCATTCGTAAGTGCTGCCCTTTAGAATAATGTCAGTACAATTTTCCAACGCTATCGGGTATGTTGGGCTACATAAACTGTCTGGCTTTAATACTCGCAAACAAAATTTTTTATGACTCAGTTCTATCGCATTCGCTACTAAAAGTTTGCAAACTTAGCTGTTTCCCTTGAAATCCCCATCAGAATAGAAATTACATCAACAGACCCACCTGTACATTCGTGCTTTGACGAGAGTGTAGAAACATCGGGAACAGAGAAGCATATATCCTCCAACTTAGACTTACTTTGACTGGAAACGACGTATTTTGCCAATTTATGGTTGTGTCCGGTGGGATTGGATTGTTCCAAACAACCACAACGGAATGTAGAATGGTTAGCTTGGAGAATTCAAGCAGTATTTTCATCACGGAGTCCAGCCGTTCATAATAAAGTATGACAGCTGAATGAAGAGAAAAATGGAGCAATTTTATTACATAATTTCGCACACTTGCTGATCTATGCTCATGCGATATCAATGTGTTTATTACCCAGTTTACATATAGCATACAAGTTTAAATTTATTACCTTATATAACTAAATTATTAACACGCCCGGACGTTTTGTGATAACAAAGGAGTCCTTGAGACTGAAATCAGAGATTGTGGATCTCAATCTCGAATTGAAGTTTGTAGATATGTCAATTACTGCCAACCTTGAAGGCACAAAGCTGTCGGAACTGATGGGCTTTACCCACTGCTTCTCAAGTCACTTGAGACCACCATGTCTCCTGTTGTGACTGACCCTTTCAACAGGTCGCTGTCCGAAGGTTCGCTGCAGATTAACTGGAAATGTTCGGGAGTGAAGCCTATTACGAAAGGCGAAGACCCATCAAAGTAGACAACTACAGGCCAATTTGTCTGATATCTATTTGGCAAAGACTGCTGAGAAGATAGTGAAGAAGAGATTGCTGCAGTTGCTATGGTCAAAAAGGGTCTTGACGCCCGCACAGCACGGTTTTATGCAAGGTCGTTCATGCATTACAAAACTTGCTTGTGATGAGACACGAGTGGTTGTAGGCAATAAGCAAGGAGAAGTCTGTCTACGTGATATTCATCGATTACAGTAAAGCCTTCGACAAGGTCAGCCATGAGGTTCTCCTTCACAAACTCAGTATGTGTGGTATCGGTGGCTCACTGAACCGGTGGATCCGCGATTTACTTGTTGGAGGAAAGTGGAGGGTACAGGTTGACGACCATCTAACTGACTGGGATCCATTTACAAGTGACGTACCTCAAGGTACTGTGTTGGGGCCCACTCTGTTCCTGATCCACAGCAACGATCTACCGCAGCTTCTCCGGTCGCCGTGTGCCTTGTTTGCGGAGGACATGAAGATTTGGAGAGAAATTGATGCTCCCGATGACTGTGGCCTACTTCAGCAAGACCTCAATCGCTTATCCACATGGTCTGCAGAAGTTCATCCCCCGGTCAACCCAGGCAAGTCTATATTTATGAGCCTGGGGGAGTGTGCTGATGGCCGAACCCACACCATTGACGATCAACCGCCATATCCCACACCCTCCGTGAAGGACCTAAGTGTACTCTCACGCTAAGATTTAAAGTCCGTGGACAACAAGAACAGGTTATATCGGAACGGACTGCGCATGCTTTGGGCGCTCAAACGTAGCTTCGGCACTGTCTGAAGTGGTTGCCACTCGTCTCTTTTCTTCCATCATTAGACCGATACTAGAGTACGCTTCGCCCGCCTACTTTCCGATTACCCGAGGAGAGACACAAAAGATCAACAGGTTGCTACCAGGCTGATCCCGAGTTTACGTGGCTTGGGATATAAAGACCTGTTGGAGAAACTAGGACTCTACACCTTGTCATACCGTCGGGCGCCATTCAACCTCATTATGACCTACAGTATTCTACATCCAGGTGACTTCCCTATGCTGAGGCCAAAGCTGCACTTACCAGGGTCATGCAGCACAGGCGGACACATATACAAACTTGTCGTGCCGGATGGGCAACGTGTTCCCCACCCACTGTGCTTCGAACGGAGAGTGGCAAATATTCGTAACAGTTTGCCTGAACATGTGATGGAGGCAAGATCTGTGCAGCGGTTCAAAACGCTGTTAGATTTATATTTTACCACTACTCGTTTCAGAGAATGATTGCCCACTTACGATGACATTTCACATTTGTGAGTCCTGTAATACCGTGAGTCAGATATGTTGAATGTTACATGAGAACGCTGATGATATTCACGGCTGGCAATTTTTAAAACCTTTTTCACCCTATTTTGAAAGAGTTATACAGAATTCATTTCTACTTGCTCTATAATACAGTATTCAGTATTCACATAATTATTCAATGCGAACTGCGCGGCCGCCTCTCTCGAATCACTACACAATGCTTTAAGTGCATTATAGAGTTCTCACTTGACCAACATTGATGACCATGTAATTATCGTCGTGAGAAACACCGGTATCACCTTACTGAAGTAGAGAAGTCGATGCTCACGTGTATGCACAGTGTCAGCTATCGATGTTCCCTGAACGTCTCACATTGCTACGCAGATGACGTGTTAACTACTGAAAGACAAGCTCGTGTTGCGATTCAAATCTATACGTATCATATATCTCATTGACCGCTCCTTTAAGTTGATCCGAGAGATGATAAGTAGTTTGGTTCCTAGCTTGTCATCTCCTGCGCCATTTTCAAAATTCCAAAGTGTTCCAAAAAGTTAAAACTCCAGAGCACTAAAGCTCACCGAACAAAAATTAGACTCCTGGATATTAACGTCGGATTTTTCCTGTGAAGTATATTCATTTGACTAGAAACAAGCGCAACCTAATTCAGTATGTTGCGATTGGATTTTAGCCGGCCGTCAATTTCGTGGACTCAGGAATTAGCGAAGAAATCCAAATGCATGTTTCATATCAAATTACCAACACCATCTTAATTGCTGGATGATTTTTACGTCAGTATATATACCATTCAACTGCTAAAGATTTACACACCAAAATGTTCACAGGTCTGTTTAAAATAGAGGACTCTATGGAGGCAAGTAGCCCAATATCGGACGTTTGGTCGTCAAGAGAATTAACATTCGGCTTTCTTTCTGTGCAAATAATGATATGCACAGCAGCAACGTTCATGACTGTAGCACTGAGACACAGTGGGGCAAAAATAACAGTAGAAGAAGGCTGGCTTTTACTCGATCTAGAAGGTGGCGTTGTTCATCTCGGTGACTTTCATCCCTTCTGATCAGACTGTCCATGCAGGACCGGAATCACAACAACTATTTAAATGGTTTTCGTCTACTCAGTGATCTCGATAAGTCATTAGCTGATGAGAATAAACAGAAATATGTTAGTGACCCGTCTGTTGTTATCGTTCAATCCACATAACAGGAAGCATTAGCTTAAGGGTTGATTTTCGAAAACCATCCGCTTACGGTTTGGTCTCAGATTCTAGTGTACAATTTAATGTTATTAGCACCAGTAATAATCATCACAGCGTAATCTTACTGACACTTGGTTTGATCAAGTGAGCTGCAGGAACAGATAAGTGGCCCAGTGGTTGACGTCCCAGTCATGAACCACCTCGTATTGGGTTCTACTCCAACACGGACCATTTCCACTTGCAACCTGTACATGCATCTAAAACCAACTGTGTAATGTAATCTTCTGACCAGCTACGAATGCTGTTCAAGTTTAAACGAATCGTGCATAATCAGGAGATAATGTCTCAATCCAAACACACGGTAAGTGCTTCACATTTCCACAACTAACAGGCTAATTTAGTTTCGTCACTAGTACATTATGCATACATTATTCCGACTTACCTTGTCTCGAAAATACGACAGACTGTACAGAGAAATAACAAATAGGCTGCACTAGTAAATAAGACTTTAAATGAAAAGATTGTGCGGCAGGTTACGTTGCGAGGCATCAGTCCTCATTTCCTTTAATCGATTTTTTCCTCCCCCTTAGTTTGGGCCCTTCAACTTACTACAAGCATATTAGTGGTTTTAGGTAGTTTTGCGTCCTCACATTTAGAGAAGCAGAATACTGGAAAATCGAGCTGTAATGCTTTAGATTTGAAAAGCAATGACAGCCTAGCTTTTGTATCCAAACGGACTGCCTAAGTCAGATCAATATGGTTGGTGATAACCATCGAACCGACTCGGTTGTACAGCTGGTATGGGGGGACTATCCACAAATGTCAACCCGGTAAGCCTGGAAATATCACGCTGAAAGCCACCTAAGCAACCAGACAGGTATTGTAAACACCGATAACTACAGCTCGTATTCAGCTTCCCTGGGCTGTGCATCTTCATATTTTCTACCGACAGCAACTTACACACTCGAGCAGCGGAGTGTCTTGTTGCTTGCAAACACCTCGGGAAAGTTCGTGTCAACGCTTAAATGCCCCGTCTAAAGTAAAACATCGATTCAAAACGATGCAAAAGGAACGTTTAACAATTTACAGATGATGACCGTAGTTAAGATGTTAAAAGTCATCTTATGCGCGTCATCGAAATAAACCTGGACAACTGGGCTGATTACAACGGTAACGTTATAACAAGGCTGATGTACGCCTAGCTTGGTTGCCGTACGTAAGCTCCTGGTGTAGTCGGGATATGTCGCCTAATATGTATGGCCTGTAGCATCAACAATTCGCTTTAGAATACCGATGGCGTGGGCACAGAAGAAACTTACGCTGAAACCGCATTCGAAGATTAAGTTATAGGAATGATCAGAACTTCTGGCGACATTCCGTCCGGATAGGCTGTGCTGTTAACTATGGGTTGGAGTTCCTCTAACTGTTGTTCCTGAGTTTCGGGAGGTGGCAGTGATTTGGGATCTTGAAACCGTCCTCTTTGTAACCAGCTTGGCCTTTCCATTACTATTAGTCTGATATGGTAGTACGGATAGAAAAGGACCAGTGCATACAGGGTCACCGTTCACTCCGCAATATGCAGTCTAATATTTTCGTTCTTGCACGAGGGCTGCAGGTACACAATGACTTAATTTATTCGGAACGTTTGCTGAGCAGATCAGCTCACGGATTGCTGGCTATTGGTAACTCCCTTGTTTGCTCAGAGGAACCGAGGTCTAACTTAACCATTACTTCAAAGACATAAACTTTAGAAATATTGTGCAGGAAGTGGACACTAAGCCCGTAAGTGCTGCATGATAGAAGACATGAGTGGACCACATTTTATTTGTTTGTGTTGAACTAATTTTCCTTGTTAATTAATACTACACAAGTGCTGTCCAGTTCAATTGCAGTACGTCATGATCATGACCATAAATGAACAATGAACAATGATTTATGCTAGGTAAAAACCAGTTGCTTGACAATTGAAAGATTTGGGTGTTGCTCCTCCCCCTCCTGCGAAGAATAGAAAATAGGAAGTAATTTCCCTTGTCAGATCGTTCATAAATCAAA